GAAAACGAACTGAGAAAACGAAAAGAAACCAAGAAATAATAAAATAATAATAAAAAAAAAAAATGAAAACACCTAAACATAAAACAACATAAACCCCACCCCAACCCCTCCCTCTCCCTCCCCACCCCCTCAAAAAAACACGAAAAAAACGAGAAAACGAAAAAAACGTAAAACAACAACCCGCGTTAAATTGGCCATTGCACCGTGGAGTGGCCCTGTGTATGTGATCAGCCAATCAGCTATGCGAATCCGAGGGCTGAGTGTTGAACCTTCGCTGAGTGATACTTTGGAACCTCCTCGGCGTGAACACTCGGCCGAGGGGGAGCCAAAAAAGGAGGGAGCCAACAAAGGCAACACTCCCCACTCCTTTCCAGATCTCGCTTTTTTTCTCTCTTCTTTTTTTTCATTTGGCTTTTTTTGGATTTGTTTTTAGAGGCAGTTGTTTTCTCTTTCTTGCGCTTCTTTCGTGCTTTTTTATTTTTATTTTTTATTTGCTGTTATTGTTATGCATGTTTACATGTACACACACACACACACACACACACACACACACCAAGAGAAAATAACTTATAAACCTAATTCTTTAGAAGATTGATAACATTATCATTACTTATCATCACCATTCTTAATTCTATGTAGGTGTACCACCGATACTCCGGCAATCGCTATTCCGGCACCTCTTTTAATCCGGACACGAGCTGCGTAATGAAGTAGCTAAGAAGAATATCAGTGAATGGTCATTATGCGATATCTCTTCGTCCGGAAAATCTCATCATCCGGAACGTCACTTTGTTTCCGGAAAATCGGTGTTTTTGACGATAATTCTAAGAAGGGTTAAAGATCTTACGTTAAAAATTATAATAATTACAATACTGATCACTGTTTCTATTATTATTGTTTTTGAGAGAACGAAAAAGAAGAAGAAGAGGAAGAAGAAGAAGAAGAAGAAGAAGAAGACGAAGCAAAAGTAGAAGAAGCAAAAGTAGAAGAAGGAGAAAAGAAGAAGAGGAAGAAGCAAAAGTAGTAGAAGAAGAAGAAATACAAGAGGAAGAGGGAGAGAGAGAAGAATAAGAACAAGAAGAAGGAGGAGGAGAAGAAGAAGAAAAGGAAGAACAATAAGAACAAGAAGGAGAAGAAAAAGAAAAGGAAGAAGGAGAAGAAGAAGAAAAGAAAAGTAAAAGGAAAACAAAAGGAAAAAAAACTAAATAAGAACAAAGAGAAAAACAAAAACACAAAGAAGAATAAGAAGAAAAATGAAAGCAGAAGAAAGAATGAAAGAAGGAGAATGAGAGAAAAATGAAAACAGAAGAACGGAAGAAAAAGAACGAAAAAGGGAGAATGAAAGCAGAAGAGCGAAAGAAGAAGAACGAAAGAAGAAGTACGGAAGAGGAAGAACGAAAGAAGAAGAGCGAAAGAATAAGAACGAAAGAAGAAGTACGGAAGAGGAAGAACGAAAGAAGAAGAGCGAAAGAAGAAGAACGAAAGAAGAAGTACGGAAGAGGAAGAACGAAAGAAGAAGAGCGAAAGAAGAAGCACGAAAGAGGGAGAATGAAGGGAGGAGGAAACCCTGGGCGCGCGCGCGGGTCGGCGGCGCTCGCATGACACGAGAGGCGCCGCAAACGGCCACAGGTTCCTTTTTCATCTCCTCTCACGATTCTTGATTTAATCTGATTACAACGCTGTTTATATCGCCATTTCTCTATTCATTTGTTTGTTTGTTTGCTTTGATTTCTCTTCTGTTTTTCTCTTTCGTTTTCTCTTCTTTCTTTGGTTCTGTTTTTCTCTTTCGTTTTCTCTTCTTTCTTTGGTTCTGTTTTTGTCTTTCGTTTTGTCTGTCTCTGTCTTTGGTTCTGTTTTTCTCTTTCGTTTTCTCTTCTTTCTTTGGTTCTGTTTTTCTCTTTCGTTTTCTCTTCTTTCTTTGGTTCTGTTTTTCTCTTTCGTTTTCTCTTCTTTCTTTGGTTCTGTTTTTCTCTTTCGTTTTCTCTTCTTTCTTTGGTTCTGTTTTTCTCTTTCGTTTTCTCTTCTTTCTTTGGTTCTGTTTTTCTCTTTCGTTTTCTCTTCTTTCTTTGGTTCTGTTTTTCTCTTTCGTTTTCTCTTCTTTCTTTGGTTCTGTTTTTCTCTTTCGTTTTCTCTTCTTTCTTTGGTTCTGTTTTTCTCTTTCGTTTTCTCTTCTTTCTTTGGTTCTGTTTTTCTCTTTCGTTTTCTCTTCTTTCTTTGGTTCTGTTTTTCTCTTTCGTTTTCTCTTCTTTCTTTGGTTCTGTTTTTCTCTTTCGTTTTCTCTTCTTTCTTTGGTTCTGTTTTTCTCTTTCGTTTTCTCTTCTTTCTTTGGTTCTGTTTTTCTCCGGAATCTACTTCCTTCCCTCTGTCCTTCCCTCCCTCTCTTTCTCCTCCTCTCTCCATCTGCCTCTTATATTCCCTCCTCTCTCCCTCCTTCCTTCCTCCTCCCATTCCTCTCTCCCTTTCCCTCGCTCCCATGTAACCTCCCTCTTTCCCTCTCCTTTCTACTCTTTTTCCTCTCCCTTCCTTCCCCTCTCCCCTCCCTTCACTCCCTTCCACCCTTCCTTCCCTCCCTCCCTCCCCCCTCTCCCTCTCCCTTCCATCCCTCCCTCCCTCTCCCTCTTCCTCTCCTCACCCTCCCTCCCTTCCACCTTCCCTCCCCTCTCTCCCTCCTTCCCTCTCTTCCACCCTTTCCTCCTTCCTTCCCTCCCTTCCCATCCTCCCTCCTTCCCTCCCTCCCTCCCTCCCTCCCCTTCCCTCCCCTCCTTCACTCCCTCCCTCCCTCCCTTTCCCTCCCTCCCTCCTTCCCTCCCTCCCACCCCCCTCCCTTCCCTCCCTCCCTCCCCCTCTTCCTCTTCCTCTCCCCTCCATCCCTCCTTCTCTAAGACTTAAAAACCTCCTTCAAAATCGCCCCCGAGACGCACAGCATCCTCCGAGGCGCCGCGAGATGAAGGGAAGGGAGGAGGAAGAGGACGGTGCTCGTGATCTGCGCATTGACGTAATCTCGACAGGGAAGCTGGCGGCACGAACGAGATTTTTTTTCATTTTTATGTATTTATTTATCTATGATTTATTTATATTTTATTTATTTATTTATTTATTTTTTGATTAATTTATCTACTTATTTATCTATTCATTTATTTATTCATGTATTTATTTATGTATGTATTTATTTGTGATGTTGCTGTAAACGATGTGGTTGTTGTTGTTGTTGTTGTAGCTGAAGTGGTTTGTACTTTCGCTGTTGTTGTAGCTGAAGTGGTTGTTGTTTTTGTTTTCAATGGAGGGGTTGTTGTCGCTCTCTGTTGTTGAATGGGGGTAGGGATGCTGTTTTTGCTGCTGTTGGATTTTTTGTTGGAGTTTTTGTTAATGTTGAGGGAATATCTTTGTTGTTATTAGTATCGCTATTGTTATTATATTAATATTATTATAACTATTACTATTATCATTATTATTGCTATTATTATAACCATTATTATTGTTATCATTATAACTATTGTTATTATCATTATTACTGTTTCGATACTATTGTTGTTACTATTATGATGATTATCATTATTTCAGTTTCATTATTAACATCAATAATGTTATTCTATTGTTGCTAACTATTACTGATGTTACTCGGCACAACAAATATTTCCTTTAATAAAAAGATTTTTTATCATCAATATCATCATCACTTTTAAAATCGAGAATCCCACCGCTAAATCGATGGTTTAGATGAAATACTAGGCTTAATTATAATCATGAAAACATTAAGTATTTATCATTCTCGGTCTTTCTCGGTCTCTACCTTCCATCTCTCTCCCTTTCTTGAATGTGTTACACAACCTCAAAACTCAAAATAAATTGTATTCTCTAAATACACACACATAATATATACATACATATGTATATAACACTCATACACACACACACACACACACACACACACACAGATATATATATATATATATATATATATATATATATATATATATATATATATATATATCACTAAATAATTTTCTCACACTCACCCCCTTTTTTCTATTTCTCATTATCATTTTTCTTGTCTTTTTTTTTCAATTTTCTTCGTGTCCATTTTCTTGGAAACGGATTCGAGACGGAGCGGGAGCGGGAGGGGGGAGGGGGGAGGGGGAGGGCGTGGCACAGCATCCGAACTAATCTCACTCATCTCACAGACTCGTCAAAGACCCATTTCGAGAGGCAGTGGTTAGGGAGAGAAGGAGGAGGGGGGAAAGGAGGAAAGGGGGGAAGGGGGGAAGGGGGAAGAGGGGAAGGAGAAGAGAAGAAAAAGCGAAATTGAGATACAAAAAAAAAGAGAAGAAAAAGAAGAAAAAACACAAAGGTGTTTAGAAGGAAAAGAAGATTTATCTTTTGTTAGGGAGATTTTTTTTTTTTCCTTTTTTGTCTAAAGTCTCGAAGTTAAGGAGTTTGTGATGAATAGCGACCTTTCAGTGAAAAAATGAGACCAAGATGTATTAGGAAAATGCTATTGGAAAGAAAAGATGGAATGAAGTGGGTACTGGAGACAAAATAATTAACTGTTGTGTGTACGTTCGTATGCATGTATGTATATATATATGTATGTATGTATCTATGTATTTATGTATGTATGTATGTATACACATATCTACGGTAACTGAGTGTGTGTGTTTATCCTCATATATACACATATATCCATATCCGAATATATATACCCTATAACCCGTAAGTAGAACATATCACAAGTAATATATATATATATATATATATATATATATATATATATATATATATATATATATATATATATATATATATATATATATATAATATAATATGAAATATATAGGTATAATTGATATATATAACACTATGCACCATAAGTGATATTAACACATACCCCTCTTCCCTCTCCCTTAATTTCGAGGGAACAAAGTCTAAACAATAAGTATACGTAATATATATAGTACTATACTCTATAGAATGCTATTAACACACACCCTCCCCCCCCTTAGCTTCGAGGGCACCAAGTCCACCAAGGGCGCCTCCAAGATGCGCCGCGACCTCCTCAACTCGGAGATCAGTCAGCTGCGGGACCTCCTGCCGCTGCCGGCGTCCACGCGCCAGAGGCTGTCGCAGCTGCAGCTCATGGCCCTCGTCTGCGTCTACGTCAGGAAGAGCAACTACTTCCAGCAAGGTAAAGACGGGGGCTGGGCGGGACCTGCGGGAGGTTGGAGGGCCTCGGCGAGAGGCTCTGGCGGAGGGGACGGCGCCGCCTCGTCTCTCTTGCATTTGTATCACTGTTGTTGTTGCTGTCATTATTATTATAATCATCATCATCATCATCATTGTTATTACTATTATTATTATCATTATTATTATTATTATTATTATTATTATTATTATTATTATTATTATTATTATTATTATTATTGTTATTGTTATTATTATCATTATTATTTTTTTATTTTTTCATTATTATTATTATTATCATTAATATTTTTTATTATTATTTTTTATTTTTTTATTATTATTATTATTATCATTATTACTGCTACTATCATTATTATTATTGTTACTATCACCATCATTATTATTATTATCATCACTATTATTGTTATCATTATTGTTGTTATTATTATCATTACTATCATTATCATTATTATTATTACTATCATTATTACTATTATTATTATTATCCTTATTACTGTTATTATTATTATCATGATTACTATTATATTTATTATCATTATTAATATTATTATCATTATTATCATTATTATTATTATTATTATTATTACTATTATTAATATCATCACTATTATCATTATTATAATTTTCATTAATATTATCGTTGTCATAACTAATATCATCGTCATCATAATCACCGGCACTCTCATTATTATCTCCATGCTTACCGTTATTATTTTCATCATTATCATCATTATCATTCTTATTAACATCCTCTTCATTGCTTTTACTACATTTAGCATATCAGTCAATATCATCTTTATTTTTTTTATTTTTCTTATCAATAGTATAACTCTGATTCGGATTTTTAAGTGATATTTGTTGTGTAAAATAACAGGATCCTTTTTAATTACGCAATAAGACAGGAAAAGATTCTGATTCTATTAACAAGGGATTTATACTAGTAATATAAAAAATAATGTTGATATTTTTTTCTCTTGAATAGAAAAAAACACAATTGATGAACTTAAATGTACTGATGATAAAGTTAAATAGGTCATGAATATTAACAAAGGAAAGAAGATAGAAGGGAATGACTGAATATTAGAATATAATAGTCATATAAATTATCAAAACAAAAGAGCATCGCCGCCTGAAACCACCGCCATTCCTAAGCTTATAAAATGGGGATGATATAATTTTCATGAGAACTATATAAACGTATCCAGAAACCGCTGCAGTCACAATACAGTGTCACCATCACCACCACACACCACGGCGACCACTATCACAAAATCGCCATCACCACCACACACCACAGCCACTCCTATCAAGACCGTTGTGAAGCATCACCATCACCACACATAGCACAGTGACTCCATCATCACCACTATACGAGTCACACAACACAGATAATACCATCACTACTATTATTCATCATCACCACCACCACTGCACTATAGTGACTCCCTCACCATCGCTTTA